ATCCCCACATGCCACCACCACTTCCTGGGGGACCCTTCCCGCAGCAGCCGCCGCCGCCACCTCAACCGCAAACCTCTATGAGTAGTGGAATGCCTGCTTCTCTCGATCAGGTTTGGTCACTTTTCCTCCCTTTTATTTTTTAAAATCACTACTGAAATAATTCATGTTTCGAGTTCGAACATCGTTAGGACCTTGTATTACCGTGATTTTCCGAAAATCCGCCCAGGGCGGTTAAACGACAAATTCCATTTCATAAAACTATTTTTGGAACCAAATAACCGCCCACCCGAATAAGCGCTCACGGGCGACAATACAGAAGCAAAACATTTCACCTAAGAACATACTTATTTTGAGAAAAACACAAATTATTCCAGCATACTGTGAAAGTCATCCTAGTTCTTTTAGAAAATGATGAAATGAAGCTATTGAAAGCGTATGGGGAAAGTCCAGTTTCAGTCCCAAATATAGAAAAGCTTTAAGACGGCATTTTAACCTTTAACCCCAAATAACTGCCCGCTGGCGCTTATTCAGATGGAAAATTCCGGTGTCTGAATTTTGGTGTCTTCAACGAACTTTTGAAATAGGGTAGTAATGAAATTGGTCACTGGCTGCCCTTTTAGGTAAAATAGCCAGTCTGAGAACATTATGTCGTATAGGTAGAAACTTGACAATAGGCAGGGGCGTACAAAAGCAGAAAGTAGGAGGAACTGGTTGGAGAACTTGACTGTAGGAGTTAACGGGAATGGAATAAAATAATCATGCTTTAGAAAAAAGAAAGCTTGAATATAAATATATTCGGCGAAAAAGCATTACTATCCGTTCGAGAACGTATGGGCAAAAATGTGATGATTAAGGAGCTGAAAAAATGGGGCTAAAACATAAATATTAGTAGACATACCGATGTTTGAATTTCATTGAACAATTTTTGTTTATTTTACTTTTATAGGCTCAATTTTTATAAAGACTCGTCGAAATCACTTCATATATATGAGAGGCATGTAATTAACCTCGCTGAAGATTATTATTATTATTATAATATCAAATGGCAGGCGTTTTGATGTTTATCATTAGCCCTTTAGTTGACTTCAGGCTTCACAGAGGGGAGGAACATCAAAGTGAAAACAGAACAGAACAGAATAGTGTTCCAAAGACGAAGGTAGATAAGGTGGAAAAAGGTAAGGTGAGTACTGCGGAAGTAGTCGAATATGACATACAGTGGGGTCATGGCAGTTTGATGCCAAAAATCAACTGCCAGGTAATAGACTTTTTTTGCCGTATGAGTCACGTTGCCCAGGGTGCACCACGTGGAGGTAGGTCTATCGCACACCCCAGCCAATCGGAAGTAGTAATTGCCTCGCCAGCCCAATATGGAAGTGTATGGCTGCACGTCAATCACATAAGTGTAGAGAAGACTGATGAGCAATTAATGCCCTAAATAAACTCAACTAGAATTCCATGTAACTTTAGGCAGAAGTAAGATGGTTGTTTCCTCTCATTCAGGTATGCTTCAAGGTTTCCTGATTTATCTTGCCTTCTACTTTCTTTCCATAGTCCGCAGGCATTTTCAACCTGTCTTTATTTGCAGATAAGATTTGCCTTGGTTAATCCCTTTTTAAATTAATTGTCTTATCTTTTAAGGCAAGGAACTCAAGGAACTTTCCAACAGTTAAGGTTGCTGAGACTAAGTCGAGGTTTGTCTGTACAGTGTTCGCTTGATACCTCTTTGTCTTTTATTCCACACTGGTAACTTTTATAGCCTCCTAATTATTGGCATATGCCCAATTTGATTTAACTTATACAGGAGTTTACTCATTATATATATGCAATGATATACTGGCTGTTTCTCAGTTATTTCCGCTTCCATAATTCTAAGTTCCTTGATAATTATTGTGCATAACTCGATAGAAAAATAATGATTGTATTTCTTCCTTATGATCTCTGCTTATTCACAAGTAAATGCCAGCAGGTTCATTTCAAATCCAGCTCTTTAGATCCTTATTAAGTAATGATTTAGGTAAAAACAACCAATAATGTATTTACGAGGCAAGGAAAAAGGCTTTATCGATTAGTATGAGTGCAGTAACGATGAAATTAACCTTTAGAGATCTATCGGCAAGGTTTTTGACAGATTGACTACAATTTATAATAATGAAACTGAAGAATGGTTAGGATAAAGATTTCCCCACTCATTTTAGTTATCGAGTAAGAAAGGGGGTAAACGGAATGAAATGGAATTTTAGAAAACTTGTATACCTAGTTTGTTTCATTTAATGTTCACACCTCAAACATTTTCGAACCATTTTCGACTCATTTAGAGTACCATTGATTGAAAATTTGCAGATCTTGAATTTTGTAATTATCAACACGATATTTATAAGTATTGGACTTAATTGTGCTTCAATAAATAAGCCGTCAGTGGTATCAAGTCAAGGAAAGCTTTAGATTTGGCTAAAAAGTGTCACCCAGTGTAAGTTGAAAAGAAGCATCGATTTCTTTTATTCCATTTTATAAAGAGGAGTGAAGAATGGGAAGGTCCGGGGCTTGATAGCCATTACCAATACAGCCTAAGTAAAATGAGTGCTTCAAATCTTAAAAACCTAAAAATTCGCATAACTCTGACTTTCATCTAAAATGATACATGAAGGTTAAAGGTTATATCTACTAAGATATTGTGCCATAGAGATTTCTGAGTCGGTCAGGCTTTACTAAGGTAGCAATCCGCTACAATATAAAGCTATTCAAGTGGAAATTCCTGTATACTTTCAACAGTCAAATGCTAAATACTTAAGCATGAATAATAAAAAATATATTGAAATAAGACAAACGGTACACACTTATTAATTTTTGGTATTCTTAAACAGGCAAATAGTAAATAGTTCTGACAAATTCTCATTGCTGAATTAACATCATCAAACCGCAGTAACAACCATATTTTATAGGAAAATATTTCATTTCTGGAATTTTGAAATTATTTTTATAGTATATATAAGAGTTTCCTTCCGGAATAATAATTTCGGGAATGTTAAATGTGTAAGTTCAAAAATTAAATTTAATGCATATAAATACAGTTAAACTAAATACGTAAATTCGAGATGGATATCTAAAGTATTTTCTAGAAAAAAATTACATATAATAACCTTATGAAAAATATCTCAACCTTGAATTGTCCCGGATCCTATTAAAAACAGTCTGGTTGCAATTCGGGTCGCGAGATGCTCCCCTCGAGTGGTGCTGGTATTCTTGGTGAACTGTTGTTGAATTCCAAGGATTTCCAAATTGAAGAGGTCAAGAATAATCATAAAATTTCAAACTGTGTTTGGATATATTTAATGAATTCAACAACGTAAGTTCTTACTTGTCTCTTAATATTCAGCCCTGGAAATGTTGAGAAAAATTTAGGGAAATGTAAAGAAATTCTTACTGGTGATAATAACATGAATTATAATACAGTGCTAGAGGATTTGAGTTCTATCCTATTCAAGCTTAACGTTGAGGATGCAAGCAATATTTCAGACGATTCATGGAGATGCATTCTGAAAATGGTTGAAATTTGTCTATTAAGACCGCCCACTATGTAATTCTGTTTATTTCTAATTTTTTAAATTTAGTCTTAAAAATATATCTAATCGTAGTTTATTACCTATCCTTGGACATCTTTTTGTTCGCTTTCTTGAATTACTTCGAAGCCAGCGAAGTGATGATCTCAGGCTTGATTCAATTAAAGCAATACATGCACTTGTTGATCATTTTGAAAAGAAGCTCAAGACAGCCAGATCATTCAAAATTGCTCTACGAGCTTCATATTTTCTGAAGATGCTTCCTGGTTTATCCCAAAGCTTGCTTGCTTCCATTGTCGGTGAAAAGGGAAGAAATTCAACCATCAAAGCGGTAATAGATAATTTTAATTTGTTTATTTTCGTCTTAGAAATCCCTTGTGGCTTTAGCGAGAGTAATTTGTGTTTGCTTCGGGATGGATGTTTGTGAATCTATCAAATGTAAGCTTAACTTTAATTATATAAATTGCATTCTTTAGCTCTTGATAAAGATACCAGTGCCCAATTGGATTTATCTCAGTTTAATTCACTTATGTCCGACTCTGTGAAGCATCTAAAGAAACTCGTACATATATGCCTTTCATCCATATTTGCTGAAGTTGTTACCTATTCAGCCTCGGCAAAGCAACGACTATTCGATTCGGTCCTAGCTTTTTCCTCTGAGATTCTAAAAAGCTGTTGGCATTTCCTCAATCTTAATGCAGAAGCTCAGAATCTGAGAGATGATTTGATTCGTGCTTTGATTATTGTGAATATTGAGGAGGGTTGCTCAACATTTAACAAAGCGTCCGATCTACTATCAGAAATTACTGGTAGAAACTTCCCTATTTCTGAAAGTCAGAAATTCACCCATGAAATAGAAATTCCCCTGTCTGGCAGAGAAGTTATAAATGACATCTCCCTCCAAATTATAGTTGATATTGTAAAAGACATCGATAATGGCTTGCAAGGTAGTCGTGGTAAGCTACACATTTTTCATAATATTTATTTTATGCCCGTATCCCTATTTCAGATGAAAATATTACCAGATCTCTTTTGTCACGATTGTGTGGAGTGATAAATTACCTTGGACCCACTGTTATTTCTTCATTTATGGGTAATAAAGTTAACTGGGAAAACTTTCTAACAACATTATGTAAATATCTTGAACTGCAGTTGGAAGATATATGCCTCGTTGATCAGATTAACACTCTATCTCCTAATAGCAACGCATCAAATTCTGTGAGCCAACTATTTAGAAAGCAGTTTGTACATTTTCGTAATCCTGCTAATCTTCATAAAACGCTTGAAGTTATGCGTTTGCTTATATCTACATGTAAGCTGCAGTTATTGTGTTACATCTACTTACTTTTATCTAGGTAATAATTTTGACTTCGTAGCTGAAACATTGTTGGAAATCGGAATTGCTGATGAAAACCTTGAAAGTTCTTCGTTGATTCTCCTTTCCGCATGTCTTTCGGCTCTTTCTAGCTGTGGTGCGTCTTTCTAATCTTATTATATGTTTTGTCAGATTACAAAATATGGATTGATTAAGCAGACTTTTGATTCGTTATAGCGTAGATGATATTTTTCCCAAGGGTTTTAATGGAAATTTCGATTGTCCTATTGTTTGTTTTCATTTCACACTTTCCGGTTTCCCTTCATTAGATGATCTACCCAAGTCAGAGAGATTTGGTCTTGCTCTGTGAGTATGTACTTCTACACTATCTGTTGAATAAATGTGAGCATTTGTTAATTCATGCTCGTTTTAGCACTCTATTAGAGAAATTGGCCGAACGGAACTACCTTCAACTGGAGACTGAGGTTGATCAAACTTCTCTAGCGCAGTGGCCTCTTTCGTCCAAGCCTACTGTAATCAAGACACCATCCGTTAGATCACGAGAACAGAAACTGGAATGCCTGAAATCCTGCATCTTCATTGAATGCATAGTTGCTACTTCATCAGTAAGTTGCATTAAATTTCCATCAAACTTCTTGTTTTTTATCAGCTGCATACTTCATAAGAGTTGAGTAACTCATTAGAAATAAACAAGATGAATGTTGAAAGCTAGAAGTTGGCCGTTCGAGAACAAATCACAGTACTATTGCTGATGCATAATAACGAAAATGATTGGTGAAGCATATGAATGCTTCTAATTTTCCCATTGGTTTGCCTGAAATAAGTCGCTTTCGAGCAAATGTTTCGATTATGCAATACGTTTCAGAGGCAGGCTAATCAATTTTCTTCTCAATTTGGCCAACGTTACAGTTGACTTATAATCTAAGTGGGATAAATCATATCATTATCTTATCATACCTTCTTTCTTTAGATTTGGAGATCTTCAGAAGAAAGTACAGTATATCCGGATGAGATCCTACCCTACATAATGCAGATGTTTAGTTTTGCTGCTGGTGACGGCCTTCTGTCTTCAACTGCCCAAAAGGCTCTGGAGTGCATTTCTGCCAACTGTGGCTATGCAAAGTTTGGCATTATTATTATTATTACTATTCATAGTTTTCTTTCTTTTTTGGTCTAATTTACCATTATCTTAATATATCATTTCAGACTGGAAGACTTTCTCTCAGTCGTTTCAGAGTCCATTTTATGCTCTCTCAACATTGATTTTCATGCGATCTTTCTTGCTGTGCCGTCAGACGATTTAACCTCGCCTTCGCCGGCGTTGATGCTCAAATTGCAGCAGACTTGTCGTTCCCTCTCCTACTTTGTGGATCATACCAACGCAGATGTTATTTATCGGCTTCAGCCGCTGGTTATGCAGGTATGTCTGGATTGAATTAGTTGATATACTTCATTTATATGAGATATATGCATGAGTATAAGGTACAAATCAGTCGCTTAGTTGATTTCCTATTTGTGATAATAGTTTTCAAACTCATCGGAGAAAATGAAGGATATTGAATGGTATACACTCAACTAAATTCTATGGGACTGATAATACGATTTTCCGGTTATAACACTTTACTGCTAAAATACTCTATTCATAGGCAAACCAGTTACGACAATGATATTATTGATTCCAAAACTTCGTTCGTGCCATTGTTCTCTAAGTAATTTCAAACATTTTAATTTGTGAATAGATTTCATAGCTATAAAGCCTACACGAGGTGCTATTTTAAGCTTATTTATTTTTTGATAATTTGCCAGTTTGGTCACCAATGTTAGTTATTAACAGTCGAATTTTATTTTTTCATTTCTGTTTTCTGGGATTAGTTGGTCTACTTTCATATTAACTTGCCATCACAATGTAGTGACAATTTACAACAATTTTTTTGCTTCGCTGTTAAAGGTTAGCTAAAAAAGAACGGGTGTGTTGATCCTTAGTTTTCCGGCTTTTAAATAAAAAACAAATATATTTTTGTTAAGGATTAAAATTCCCCGACAACCATTCGCATATTTATTAATATCTTTAGATGCTGCTATGCATGGATTTAAGCTACCAGTTCGCCGCCTCATCTTTCATCATGGTTCTCCGCAAAGTTATAGCTTTATGTGCAAGGATTGGTTCTACTTCATCTGGCTCAAAGTTGATTCCTATAAAACCGCCAGCAATATGCGACCCCTCAGAACTCGGAAAAAGAAAGGAAAACATGGTGGAAAAACTGCGAAATCGCCAAGTGGACAAAATTACTCTTTCCGACGTTTGTGAACGGACTTTCAGTAAGGCTACTCAACTACTGGCATCAACCCGGAAGCAGCACAACTATGTACTTACTGGTGTGTCAACAAAGGATACTATTGAATCGAATGATCATGAGACGGATGTCTCTGAGGTCACTTCTGATAAGCCAGTATACCGAAAACCTCATTTTAGACTTGTTGAAGAGGTAAGAAAAGATATTGCATATTTAATCATATCGAATGAGATAAGCGTCCTATAAATTAATTCTAGCATTCTGAATCTCAGATACAGATTTAGAGCCCTTGTTATTTGTATAGCTAAATTACCGTTTAAGTAGTTTACTGGTTGTGTTTCTTTTGAAGATTATGCTTCGCTGTACCCATTTGATGTCAAGCAATGAACCTCGTGTCAAAATGGCCTCCATGTGTCTTCTCTCAGATGGTTGTTTAGTTATAACAGATGAAGATATTCTTTTGCCTCTTGTGCATAAGATATGGTCTCCACTACTGGCGAGGATACAAGATCGTCATCCGGCGATTGTCCAACAGGTAAACTGGTGTAGTCTCTAAAATTATTGCATAGGCTTTTGAGTTGTTCTCGACGCTGACATTCGTTGCTGGTACATTTATTCGCTCTCGAGTATCGAGCGATTTGGTAGCATCATTGGTATCGTTTCTTCAGAAGGGAGCTTCGATTAGGTACTTTAATTAATTTTTGTCGATTTTGTTTAGCTCCGGCAAAACGTCATCATACGAATGTCTTACTGCTTGTTCAGTCCAAAAACGACTTCTTTATGCACTTGGACCTATCTGCGTTCAGGTAATTAACCCAGTGTTTTACAATGAAATTCAAATACCAATTTGTATTTTTTGAGTATTCTAGCTAAATATTAATTTTTTAGTTACGTATGTTTTCTAACATGCTACACCCTGTTGTCAGAGTACTGTGCGAATACACTGGCAAGGATCAGCCTTTAGTACTGCGTGAAGTAAGTAAAAATTGATTTTGTTTGGAAACATTTGAGGCCAATGTTAAACGTTTTCTTTCCAGGCCGCAGCGCATTCCCTGCTGAAGCTATGTGAACTTGATCCCGGAGTCGTGATATATGAATTAAACCAGCATGGGCAGAAATAATGCAGAGGACCGTTTAGAAAAATGTGATTTGTTGTAAATAATAATCCAATTCTGAAAAAAATCGCTTTTAATTTAACGAAGATTAGGGGTGTGCTATTGACTAATTGCGAGGGAAGTGGCGATTCATGAATTGCGAATGCGGATCGACTGGCAGAAGCATAAACTATCTTTCTTGTAAATTGAGGTTTAATGTTGCAAAATTATATAAGTAAGGGTCAGCTAAATAGA